AGGATGTGATTAGGGTGAATGGAAGAGGAACCCTTGGGAACATCTGTAGGTCTCATTTATGGACACGTAGGCAGGCAGACAATAAATAGCATGCTGAACAACCTAGAAGTTTAGACATGAGCCACCATCCCAACATCCCCTTACCTCACATATTTTATGCCTTGATGTAGACATAAGTGCTGTGGGTGAGCAGAGGTGGGAGCCGTGAATTGTTGCAATTCCAAGTTTGTTGTGAGGAGTTCCCATGATTACCCACATCCTCCTCTGAATGAAGACCAATCAGCCCATTCATGAAAATGTTGAGCTATAGAATTTCCTGACAAAAATATGCATGTGTGATTTCCTTCTATTGTACTAAAAGCTAAGCCACTTCTTAAAAATAATTTGATAGTATGAAAATTAAGTTATGTGGGTTAAGAAAAGACAAAAGAAAAATAACACTTGCATGAAATCTACTCCTGCACACTAACCTCTAGCTATCGAACCCTTTTTCGTCTTTTAACACCCACCTCACATATCAGCTCTTTTAGGAAGCCTTACTGTCCCTCTGTTCTCCAATAGAGTTAATTATTCCACATATGTCTTTTGTTATGTTGCATGGTAATTTTATCCATATTTTCCCTCTTCTATTGAACCATGAGTTCACAGATGCAGGAGCCTTGTTTATACCAGTTTTTGTCCCAAGACCTAGCATGTAGATGGCTTAAAAATTGGGTGAAAGAATGAATGGTGTTTTAGTTTCTCTAGAAAGTTATTTAAAAGAAAGCTAAAAGTAAGCCATGCTCAATTTTTTTGGAGGGGAGGAAGAATTACATTTGCAAAACATTGTTGAGTGCCTTAAAGAAAATGATACTTATATCATGGCACAGTCCGGATAAAGATTGAAAGATGGGATACTCTACAGATATTGAATCAAAAGACCTTCCTTCTTGACAGCATGTAGGCCAAAGATTTGGAGAATTGGCTCAACCTCACTCACCACATTAGGCTATTGTGTCGTCATATCTTTTTTATTTTAGGGAGGGGTCTACAGGGTGTTCAGGGTCTCGCTACTAGATGGGACTTGTAGTGATCCGCCTGTTTACAGCCTCCCAAGAGCTGGGATTACAGGTGCGCAATACCATGCCCAGTCTCTGTGTCATCATTTAATACAATTAACCATTTACAGTGTAGACATTTGCCCACAGCACTATGCCAAGTGCAATAGTATAAAAGAAAAAGATTCCGATCTGAGCAGCTGCTATTAAATCATTCTTATACGAACTGCCTCAAGCACTCAACTCACATCATTTCCATTGATGTCAGGGTAAAATCCCATCGCATATTATTTCCCACTAGCACTAGAAACATGTACACACTCGTCCAAGTCTGGCTCTGCCATCGTTACCCACATAACATTTTATTCATACCTCTCTGAGAATGATTTTCACTTAATATTCTGGCTAGCTGTGCATATCTATCTTCTAATACAGAGATCAGCAGAATAAGATCTTCAGGCCAATCTGGTACCTTTTTGTAAATACAGTTGTGTTGGAACACAGGCGCATTCATTCTTTTCCATACTGTATATGATTGCTTTGGCTTTCCTGTGGGGCAAGTGAGTGTTCCTATAGCACCCAAAGCCAAAAATATTTACTGTACTCTTCTTTGTAGAAAAAACTTGATGACTTCTGTTCTAATGTGTTGAGAGACTCTTAAAGGGAAAAGTCATGTTTCCTTTTTGATTTTTGCTGAAACAGAACAGATTCAAAGAAATCAATGAGTGTTTAAATCCTCCTGTGTGTTAAACACTAAGGTGCTGGTGGTACTTCAAAAAGCAGAGAAAAATCTCTGATCTCATAGAGTCCATGTCCTACTGCTGGGCATAATGGAGAGAGACAAGAAAATCAACAAACTCATTGAAAATAGCAGCAATAAATGTTATGGAGAAAAACAAACTGTGATGGGAGTAAAAGGATTGCTGTACTGAGTGGGTGATCATAGTGGGAGCAGGAAAATTGTTTTATGTGCTTCAGAGAAGGTGACACTGGGGTAGAGTTATGTGGATCCTGAAGGCCATGTGGGGGCGAGTAGGGAAGGGACATGATTGGCATGTTTGAGGACTCATAAAAGAGGCTTTTGCCCAGAGCAGAGCAAGCACAGGGTAGCGTGGGAGGAAATGAGCTCACTGTCTGAGTGGGGTTTTCCGGGCTGGTTTTATTCTGGTGAATTTTTCTCTGGCTGAGGCAGTAAGTTCCTGGGAGTGGAGCACACAACAAGCAAGGCTTGTCATATTTAACAGTCTTCTGAGAGGATACACTTGAGGGAGAAGGGGCAAGGTGAGCAGAAGCCAAGGGCAGTTACAAAGGGCGTGATGATGTCCCAACTATGAGTTGATCCTGGCCTGGCCCCGGCTAATAGAGGTGCAGCGACAAGAACACCAGATTGCGCCGTCTCCAGCCAGGTCAGGACTCGGCATACAGTGACTAACTCTTGAATGAGAAAATAGCACGCTGACATTTCCACTGGGATTCACAACGCAGTCAGCTCTTACAGTTCTGATGGTGTCATTCTGGGATAGAACCCTAGCACTTGTACTGAAATTACACTCATTCTGCCTTATTTGTCTTTCTGTGCCTTGTTTATTTCATTATTTCACTTAGTGTTGTGTCTTCCAGTTCCATATGGATGAATAATATCCCATTGTACATATGTACTACATTTTCTTTCTCCATTCATTATTTGATGGACACATTATTTCTATTTCTTGGCTATTGCTGCAAGGAACATGGGAGTACAGATGTCTCTTTGATATACTGATTTCATTTCCTTTGGATCTAGACCGAGGAGTGGGATTTTGGATCATATGCTAGTTCTACTTTCAAGTTTTTGAAGAGCCTCCATATTGTATTCCCATGTATCAAATTATAGTACTAGGGACTATAAACATGCATAAATACTGTAGGTTAATTAAAAATTAAATTATAAATTAAAAGCATAATGATCATAGCTCTCCAGGCATAATTTGTGTCTTCTATTGAGATAGGCAATTTGGGGCAATAGGCAGTTTTGTTTCACTTGAGAATGAATCAGACCAAGAAGATTACATTTTTCCTTTATGTTCTGATTGAAAGGGAGAGGACATTTGAGATCATTCTTTTTCCATGATTAATCAAAGTAATATTTAATAAGTAGCGTCGGTTTCTTCTGAGCCTTCTATAGAAAGAGTGGTCTGAGACCAAGTGGCACCAAATGTATCTTGCAAAAGGAGCTCTCGCATTGCTTTTTCCCTTGCAGGCTGTGGGAAGATGAATAATCTTTAGTCTTTCAAATCACACCGACCCCTTTATTCTTTCCTATATGGTAAATATTAGCAAGCAGTTGAGGGCTTTTGTAAAGCTGGTAGCTCTTTAATTTTCAACAGGCTCAGGACATACATTTCACTTTTAATGATCAGTTCGCATTCAGTTGGTAGTGAGATGAATGCTTGTTCCACTTCGGTACCACATGGTATTTCACTAGTATGCTGTTTCAGAAAGGGTCGGCATGTTCCAGAAATTAGGAATTTTGTAAATAAGCGGAGGTGTGAATACAAACGACTGATTGTCAGAAGCACTAAACATAGCTTTGGAGTAGACAGCTTCCCCTAATTCCCACTGAGACGCCGCCCCCGGCCCCCTGACTAGTGATTTGAATCTCCGACCACTACGTGAACTGCGCTATTCTCCCACAGTCCCACAGTCCGCACTGGGCTGCGTCTAATATGCTCGCCAGTGCTCTGCAGACCTCTGCTAATGGCCTTGAAAGGGAGATGTTTCAAAGAGGCTTGGTTCCCAGGCCTGTTAATGAGCAGGAGGCCTCTTCACCTTAATGAACCAGGGTTTGTGTGGGATTCTTTCCCTTCCCAGTTTGAAGGGAGGCTGTGGGAGTTCACAAAAGCAGCAAGGGCTTTATGGTGAGGGGAGCATAGACCCGGGCCACCCCAAGGTGGCCATCAGGGCGGGGAGAGGGGGCAACAAAGTTTGTGGAGGTCATACTCAGGCCAGCAAGGCTGTCAGTGTCAGGCAGGACCTCCTGCCATCCTGGCCTGTGCCTGGCGCCAGCCCAGGATAAAAGATTTTAGGCCAGGAGTGCTACACAGAGTTGCTCAGCAGCCCTTGCAAGATATTTTAAACTGTACTTTAAATTGAAATTACCATCACAGTTAGAAGTTAGCAAATAAATGTGATAACCATCCAGATCCTTGTTCTAATTAACTAAATCATTTTTCTAAATATTAGTCATTGGTAGCAAACCCACTGCCACTGTACGAGGCCCCCAGATACATTTCTAAACTCCAACCCCCCTGCCCATACCCTACTGCTGTGGTGTTAAACAATAGAATTACTCAGAAAAGTAACAAACACACACCAAAATGATTGCCTCTATCAAAATCATCTTTGTGGGAGTTCACATTTTTTCTCAGGAACATATTTGAGAAAATGGCATCTTGTATTTAAATGTGATTATTTGTACTGAGATCTTTGTGTGTCTTGTACATTAAAGGTCCATTTTATGGCGACTGCCTCTGTGATTCAAAAGCCTGGTTTGGTATCGCAGAATTTAAAGTCCCTCAAAACACAAACACATTAATATGTATGTTCCTAAGTTCAAAGTTACACATGACTGAGTACAGTTCATTAATGAACATTTCTACATTTTAATTTTCAACTCCGGATAAAAAACGGTTGTGATACTGTAGGATTTTCTGATTAAATACAAGTCATGTTAATTATAGTTTCAATTACTGGCCATTTGTAAAAGCCACAGTTGCCCAAACCAAAAAAAAAAACCCTACTTGGGGTGACTGGAACTTGAGAAAAGTGCTATTCACCCAGTGAATAGACTAAGAAATATTTGAAATACACACACATTTACCCTTCCGTGCACTGTGTTTGGAATTGTTCTGAGATGCATCCGAAGCTGACAGCTAACCATGGCTGAGCCCTCCTGCCTAATTCAATTTTCCATTCTGTTTCCAGATAGCTGATCAGCTTTCTTGGATTTTGCTGATGACACCGGAGAGCTTCGCCTGAAGATGGAAACACTGGAGTCGGAGCTGACCTGCCCTATTTGTCTGGAGCTCTTTGAGGACCCTCTCCTGCTGCCCTGCGCACACAGCCTCTGCTTCAACTGTGCCCATCGCATCCTGGTGTCACACTGTGCCACCAACGAACCTGTGGAGTCCATCAGCGCCTTCCAGTGCCCCACGTGCCGGCATGTCATCACGCTCAGCCAGCGAGGTCTAGACGGGCTCAAGCGCAACGTCACCCTGCAGAATATTATCGACAGGTTTCAGAAAGCATCCGTCAGCGGGCCCAACTCCCCCAGTGAGACCCGCCGGGAGCGGGCCTTTGACGCCAGCACCATGTCCTCTGCCGAGAAGGTCCTGTGCCAGTTCTGTGACCAGGATCCTGCCCAGGACGCTGTGAAGACCTGTGTCACTTGCGAAGTATCCTACTGTGACGAGTGCCTGAAAGCCACTCACCCGAACAAGAAACCTTTTACAGGCCATCGTCTGATTGAGCCAATCCCGGACTCACACATCCGGGGGCTGATGTGCCTGGAGCACGAGGATGAGAAGGTGAATATGTACTGCGTGACGGATGACCAGTTAATCTGTGCCTTGTGTAAACTGGTTGGGCGGCACCGGGATCATCAGGTGGCAGCTTTGAGTGAGCGCTATGACAAATTGAAGGTTAGTCCGATCCGCCTTAAGCCAACCCTTTTCTGCCAGCATATGTCATGGAAATAAGAAGTGCGTTCGCTACTAGCTACATGGCAGGTGAAGGCTTTCTCTTCACCTTTGTTATCTGATTAGTTGTAGCATGGTTTTGGCAGCCCATAAATGTTACGCAATGAGGGTATCTTGTAAAAGTTGATTGCTGCTTGTAATTTTAACGTTGTCAAGGTGAAGGTAAATTCTAAAATTCTGGATCATTTTCAATCTGCAGTATTTCTGGATCATTTTCACTACTGCCTCAGAGAGAAAAAGAGACAGAGAGAAAGACAGACAGACAGACAGACAGACAGACAGACAGACAGACAGACAGACAGAGACATAGCAGATAAAATTTCTGTTGGGCATTTATTTTCCTGACTCATCTGGACAAACTAATTTAGTCTTGTGTTAGCTGTATCTAGTTACTGCACAAACAAAAGAATAGGAGGAGGAATGTCTGTAGCGAATGTGTGTAGCAAACGTGGGACTTTACAGGACATGTGACCTTTTCATTCTTGTCTCAATGATACCAGGCTTATTGGGGAACAACAGTGCTGTGACAGTCTCAGGTTTCATGCGGGAATTTCTTCTCATGTAGGCTTTTTTATTCAGCAAGTTTGCAGGCAAGCCCGTGGAAGCTTCTCTTTTAACATGAAATTATTAACCTAATTCCCGCTTGGAGATAATAATTAATATGACTGTGTGTCAAATAAAAAATTCACTCTACATATGGCTAGAAAGCATCAGGGAAGAAATAAAAGGCCGTCTCCAGAGGTCTGTTGAACTTCAGGTGATAGTGGAGCTAATTATTGCCAACTCAGCTGAGAGAGTTTGAGTGAGATGCTGTGTTCACTGGCTAATTTTAGATCACAAGACACCAATTAAAAGGAAAGGAAGTATAAATTAAAAGCTCTAAGTAAATATATACTGAAGTCCTTCCTCTCAGGAAAAACACATACCAAGCTGTTGAGCAAACAAACTGAATCACATGTGCCAGAGAGTATTATCACTCAGAAGACAGTGTCACCATTATAAATGGCTCCGATCACTTCTCCGGAGCTCTAATGGGTGCCTGTGTTTACACGGGTCACAGAGTTTATATTGTGACAGTGGGATTATCAGAGTCCATCTGAGATTCAGCTTTGCTGTTCCTTGGCATGCTGAGGGAATCTGACCCACCAAAGCGAATCCTGCTTCCCGCTGTCATTTGGGCAGCAAAAGCATAGCACCTGGGCAGAACGCTTCATTGCCAGCGTCCTAAGAGCTACTGACACGAATCCATCTCTAAGCCACAGAAAGGAAGCTAAGTGCAAGGATTAAAGTGACACAGATGAGAGAAGAGTGATCTGCCTGGTTTTTATTAAAGCACAGTGTATGGTGGTAACAGAGAAAAATAGCAGCAGAGTTAATAATAAAGCAAAGGTCACGCGTGCGTGAATTGTGGCTTGAAAGCCAATTCTTCAAAAATCGATGTGGCTGTCAGTTTTACAAACCAAGGCTATCTTTTTAAACCTCACGTGTTGTCATTCTTGTTGGAAAGTGCAGGTGTTCAGGATGACTGAGCAGAGATGTTTGATCTTTGTGTTCCAAATGTAAACAAGCCAGATTTTTTCCATTATTAAAATTGTTTATTTGATTAGATTAACACTCCCTTTTAATGATTGTTTGTTAAAACACCATAATCATAATTACATTTCATACTCAATAGCTCCCAGACTTGGTGTTTAAATCCAGTAATCAAGTTGCTCATTACTTGTGTACTGTCACAGTACAGTTATTAATTATTTACATAAAGTATTCAAATTGCAAGGAGATACTAATAATGCTCTAGCCCTTTCTGGGATCAAAATGAAACCCTTCAATCATGAGCCCTGTACACTTGTCTAATCAAGTCAGTGGGTGATTGTTCCTTGGTACTATCACAGGGAGGGCCTGACAATTAATGTCGTATATTTTATTTTCCAATTACAGCAATATGAGTATATAAGCAGAATCCAGTGCCCCAAAACACATTTATACCCATTCAACAAAATGTACTTATGGGTGTCTGATCAAATGTCATACTAGTGTACACTGTTTTGAAATATGCCATTTGTGTTAGATTTAAAAAGTCATAAAACTATAGGACATTTGGGTGCATATGAGATTTTAGTTATCACCTATTTATGAACATATATAGTTCCTTGTCTTGTTTCAAACCTAACTACAATAGAAGTGCTGATTTTTGAAGTAGCTAATAACGTACTTGAAGGACCAAAACCAAGCAAGTGTGTTTTTGTTAATTATTATTTCGATCATAAAAAGTAATTGTGCTCAACACATTTATTTTTCCATAACTTTAGGATCTAATAGAAATATAGAATTGTGATGACATGAGAATATGTAAAACACAGGAATTTGAGGATGTTTTCATTGATGAAGTGATAGATCTACTTTACTTATTTGGATCTGTAAGGACCCAGATGGCTTTGGTTTGAAAATATATTTGTCCTTCAATTAGTGAAAGTCCATTCCATGAAGAGGAAAATTCAGCAATGACTATGAACAATAATTATCTCCTTCAGTGTCACTAAACTTTAGGGGACATTTTAAGTCACATCAGATCTCAGTATAAGTGTTTATATAAAGAAATGGAATAGAGTTTGTACATTCTGGTCTTTCCCATAGTCCACAAGAAGAAAAAAACACCACAATTTCAACATGTAGAATTCATGAAAAAAAAAAAAGAAAATCTTCCATATTCTCTGAAATAGCACCACGTTAGTAATTTAAGGCTTCCAGAGACTATGAGCTGAGAAGAACTCTTGAAATATTGAATCAAAGAGAGAATGTAACTAGCATTTCCTGGATTCTATTTTAAGATAAAAAGAAAGTTTTTCTGCCAAATGTAGAGTCTCTCAGTGGAGCATATCATGACGGGGACATTTTTTTTTTTGCATCATTTTAATTGAATTTTAAGAAACCTTTCAGTTCCTTCAAACTTGGATTAAAATTTTGACTTATTAACCTCATAATCTAGGAGTCAATAAATGTATTCTAGGGTTTTCAAAGAATTACATTGTAGTAATTCCTCTTTTTTGGTTCCACATTGGAGCTCGTTTCTTTTTCTAGTTAACACCTAAACAAACATAACCATTGAGAAAGATTAACCTTTCTTTGCCCTTCATTTTCAACATAGCCGCTACCCATGTGCTGAAGTTGAAGGTCAAAACCAGGATTTTTCTATGCCCATTGTAAGGCTGGCTATGGGAGTTTATTTGCATAATATGGGTAATAAAAAATAGGGGTTTCAAATATTTGCAAAATATATTAAAACTATATATTGATTTTTTGACACAAAAATTATTTATAATTTGTGGAATACAGAGGAAACATCTGTAGAGACACAGTTTTCATGGGAAACTTAGGGCCCTTTCCTTTCCCTGTCCTCACCTGTCTCCACCACACCCCTGTCACGTCTCCCTCTTTTACCTTCAGAGAGCTCTGTATTATTGCCTGATTATTTATTATGACTGGAATCATTTCTGGTAAGCTCAGGGAGTCCCAGAAAACACACAGAGAAGTACACAAGGCAGCCCTTAGTCATGGGGCTGGGTAAACAAATGAATAGTTGGGCACATTGCTTCATGTTCCTGTACTGCATTTTACTCACCCATAAAATGGGGCTAGTAATGTACTGTACTTACTTTCAGAGAAACTTTTTGAAACTTGAGAGTAAAACAATGCTTCACGTAAACCCTTAGCACAGTGCCCGGCCCAGAGGAAGCCTGCTGTGTGTGTGTCAGAACTACTGCTAGAAACCAGGAGGCACACTGTGGAGTGGTTAAGTGTGTGGACTTTGGCAATAGAGTGGCTGCCAGATATTTTTAAAGTCACGGCCTGCATTATTTGTGGGTGAGGTAAGTCATGTTGTTACTTTAGTGAATTTGGTAGTTTTAGATCTAACGCCCCCCAGCCAAGGGCAGAGGCGTGACAATGAATAAACAGTTGGTGGTGGCTGAGTGCACAATTGATAGGTTAGACAAATGTTTTGGGATTCAGAGCGGGAAGACATGACTCTAGTTTTGAGCAGAGAATGAACCTGGCTTCAGGGGGTAGGATTTAAGTTGCCTTGACAGACTGAGTGGATTATTCATCAAAGAACCAGTGTTAGGCGTTCCACGAGTGGGAGAGGCCTGCAGAGACCTGTTGGCAGCTCTCAGCAAGGCAGTTTGAAGACTGCAGACAATGCTCCGAGGATGGGGGGTGCTGCATAGGGGCCCCAAGAGAAGAGAGTGGGAAAGGCGCCTTGAGGGGAACTTCTGAAATGTATTCTGATTACTAAATTATATTTGCGGCATTTCCCCTCTTGTCTATAAGGTAATGACATAATTTTCCTTCTAAGAGAGGGGCTAGTGCTATGTATATTTTGTGGAAGAAACGTGAACTAAGTATATCAGAATGATAGGCTTACTGTGTCAACAGAAGAAATAAAAGGGGGAAATGACATTCACATTCTTTTAGATTTTGTGATCTATTTTCTTAATTGATTAGTTAATTGATTCACTTTTGTGGTACTGGGGATTGAATCCTAGTCACTGAGCTACTTTTTACATTTTTTTTTTTGTATTTTAGGGAAGGGTCTACAGGGTGTTCAGGGTCTCACTACTAGATCAGACTTGCAGTTGATCCACCTGTTTACAGCCTCCCAAGAGCTGGGATTACAGGTGCACACCACCACGCCCAGTCTCAATCACTATCTCAGTGTGCCCCCAGGGTGGGGCCAGGGCTAGCACAGCAGGCCCAGGGATTGTACCCTCCAGCCTCTGCACCTGCTTGCAGGCACTTTAATCCACTTAGCTATTTGCCCCCCCCACACACACACATTTTATTTTGAGACAGGGGTCTCACTATGTTGCCCAGGCTGGCATCAAATTTGAGATCCTCCTGCACTGGCTTCCTGAGTAGCTTGGATACACAGGTATGTCCCACCATGT